CCAGGCGGCCGAGCGCGGCAACCTGTTCGCCCTGGGCTCCATCTACCACCCGGTGGTGCACGGCGACTACCCGGCCGCCCTCAAGGAGCGCGTCGCGCACTACAGCGCGCTGGAGGGCCGGCCGTCCCGCCTGCCGAGCTTCACGGACGAGGAGCGCGCGCGCCTCAAGGGCAGCGCCGACTTCCTCTGCTTCAACGCGTACATGGGCACCTCGGTGGCGGACGGCTAGAAGCGGCCGCGACCCGCGGGCGGCGGCACCATCCAGTCGGACCGCGACGCCGTCGAGGTCGGCACCGACACGAGGCCGGGCTACTTCGGGGACTTGTTCATGCGGGTGAGGGGGAGGGCGGCGAGGTCGCAAGTGTGTACCCGACCGTCCACTGAAAAAAAGAGTAAAGGTGTGAATTTTCCTTTAAAATTCACACACTTGTGCCTTTATGTGTACGAGTGGCGTTTGGCGTTCACACACCTGCATGTAGTGCAAGTGTGTGACATTCACACACTTGAGTTTCCAGTGTGTGTTGTGTACGACGGGGCGTCGCTCGGAGGAGTTTCACGCGGTCGTGTTTTTGTCAGGCCAATCCCTGGGTGCTGAGAGACGCGCCGCTCTGGATCCGCGACAACTTCAACAACACGCCCTTCTTCATCACGGAGAACGGCTGGGGTGACGAGCGCACCGACGCGGACCCCCTCGACGACGAGCCCAGGGTCGGCTACCACAGCGTGAGTACGCAGTCTCCTGACAGTGGGGCGCCTGATGGGTAGGCAATCCAGCCCGATGCACGCACGGGTGTCGCGCGGGCTGGCCTACCCTGGCATCCGCAGGCGGTACGGCGGGCCCCGTCCGCTGGACGCACTCTGCGGTCGAATGTCCAGCCGCCCAGCAGCGGCAGAGCAGCGGTTCCACTACGCAACGAGCGTCAACAGTGATGCTAGTATGGAGCCCCGCCGTCCCTGATGATGCTAACCCTATACTCCACTTTTAGGTGTACCTGCAGGAGCTGATCCGCGTCGCCACGGAGGAGAACGTGAACGTAATGGGCTACCTAGCCTGGAGTATGATCGACACCTTCGAGTGGACGGCCAGTTTCTGGTATGATAGTGTAGTGTTCAGTTAAAGAATATAGCGCAAGAGTGAGGGCAGCAGCCAAACTGGAGTGCCCCTTTGTTTCTGTTCCAGGCGCAAGTTTGGTCTAGTGCACGTGGACTACGAAAACGGCTCACTGAATCGGATCCTCAAAAAATCTGCATGGTTTTTCCAGGAGATTGGCACCAACAGAAGAGTGCCAAAGGTACCTTTCACATTCCTCCCTGGTTCCAGTACTGGAGCTGGAGGCAAAGCAATACCAACGCATTACGCTGTGCCTTTCCTCTTCGTTTTTTTATTGAGTTGCTTGCTCTGATTGGAAATTAACATTTAATCGAAGAAACTATCATTAGTTTCTCCTAGCTTTACCAAAGAAATGTACAGGGTGGGTGATCCGCGCCGTGGTTTGTATTTGCTTATACTGTACCGGATTCACGCGTGCGGGCGGGCTTGCCTATCGTCGCTCGCCAAGGCGCCTTATGGCCCCGTTCGAG